CTGTAGCCCAGGCTGGAATGCAGTGGCACGGTCTCAGCTCACTGCAGCCTCCACTTCTTGGGTTGAAGTGATTCTCCTGCCTCAGCCTCCCAAGTAGCTGGGATTATAGGCATGTGCCACCATACCCGGCCAATTCTTGTATTTCTAGTAGAGACGGAGTTTCACCATGTTGGCCATGTTGGCCCCAAACCCCTGACCTCTAGTGATCTGCCTGTGTTGACCTCACAAAGTGCTGGGATTATAGGTGTGAGCTACTGTGCCTGGCCACCCTGTTACTCCTTTCTGAATCTATCCATCCTAGATTGATTTCTATATGTTATTTGAGGAGAAAGAGTCCTCTTCCTATACAGCTCTAAAATTCTTATCTGAGAAGCAGAATCAGTCTTTTATGATCAGCAGTTTTCAAAAAGTCTGGCAACTCTTGGAGGCATGTAGAGGAGTGATCTGGAAAGTCACTAGGGATTTAGCCCAACCTCTTAGAGGACATTGAGAAATGCACCTTACACCTGCAGAAAATAAGAGGAAATAAGTAGCCGCTTGGAAGCCTCTTGCTTGGCTAAAAGGGAAAAGTATTAACAGGATTTACTGCAGTCCCATTTCACAATTTTAAGAATCAGCACACTTTTTTTTTGTTTGTATCTAATAATATACTACTCAGGGGGCAAAAATGGCACTGAGTTATTGATGGGTTCTTTTACATATCAGAGGGCTAAAGAAAATAAGATGAGAAGAGTAAAAAATACATGTGACTGAAAGAACTTCATGAAATGTTCCAAGAGCCTTTTTTGTTTTATTTAGCGAATTTTATCTGTTGAAACTCTTTGTGTTTCTTGCTGTTTATTTATTATTCCTAAATTACAGTTTGGGAATGAGTGAATTAGCTAAAATTTACATGCTCCGGGCATTTTCAAGTCATGCAGTAATGCTAAGTGGTATTAGAGTATTCATAAGAGGTGGGATATAAACCAAAACTTGGGGGCACACTTCGCAATGGTCTAAGAACAGAGGTTTCCTAACACATGACATCTGATAAGCCCTCTCCTAAGAGTCACCTGGGACATATTAAAAGTCCAAATCCTTAGATTCTATGCCCACAGATTCTAATTCAGAAGATATAGGGGGTAGAGCTTAAGAAGCTATAATTGTTTTGAAAATTCCCCCAGATAATTCTAACGTGCAGCCAAGTTTGAGAACCCCTCTCCTGGCTACTCTAAATTCATAGTTGGATGGTTTCTAAATAAAAGAGAATTGAAGGCAAGTCATAGTCCACAGGAAACAATGGGGAACAAGAATTTTCTTACAGTCGAGAGAAGAGCAATTATAGAAGAAAACGCCATAAATTTAAAATAATGCAACACATAAAATTGACTTTTCACTTTATAAGTTGGATTGAATTCACTTTTGATTTGCTATTCAAGGGAGACCGGCTATAAAAATGAGTTTAAAATGTAAGGGAACCAGAGGGCAAATATATTTATTCAATTTGGACCACGGCCAGAACACCAGTAGATGTTAACATCAAAAGTCCTATGAAAAATGACAGTTGTTACACACGGTTATATTATTGAGAATGGAGTCTAAGTGTCTTTTGTCAACAAGTGCCCTGTAACTGGTGTGTGAAGTATTTACTGTAGACTCTCCTTTACTGTCAGTACCTAGCAACATTTCCTTCACTAAGATTGTTTTACCATTTCCATCATAAAGCCCATATTTTAAGGGTTGTAACTGGATGGTGGTTTTAATTTTTGTTTGAAACTTGGCAATTTGACTTAGAAAAACACATACAAATTATTTCAAAGAGGTTTATTTTTGTGGTGAAAAGTAGCTCTCGTCAAAGCTCTTTCTGTGCTTTGCTTTCAAACGAAAGTTTACAGGCCATTAGTCCATAATGTGAATTAACCCCATTTGATATTTTTTCCTTTCCTTTAAAATGGTAAAGGACTGTTATTCACATTGGTGAAGTGTTTACTGCATATTTGCTGTAACTGCATTACATTTTTAAAATCTTATTTCTGCGGGACTTTGGCATTATTATTGTAACTGCTCCAGAATGTACACAGATGGCATAATGGATTCAAAGGCGGTTTTACGGGAACATAGGGGCAATCTATGAAGTAAAAATCCATTTCCAGGATGGCAGCATGAAATGGCCCCATTTGACTGCCTCATCTCATGGCACCTTGCCTGAGTAGGGGTAGGTGAACAGTTTAGGGGAAACCTGAATCAGTTCAAATCTTTACCCAGTTAGTTGAATTATTAAGTCTGCTTAAAAATGCAGGAAGAAAAAAGTCTCTTAGTTTTCTCAACTGAACCTTTGTTGTTGACAATAGTAAAAACTATTTCTATATAGTTTCTATTATGTGTTGAGTGACATTCCTCATTGCAGAGGAACAAAGGTGGATGGCCAACACTCCCTTCCCTGGAGGAGCTTAGAATCTGTTGAGGAAAGACAGATTCAGCAACAACTAAGTGTGGTATGGCCTGAATGTCACCACCAATATGGTGAAATTATTTTGGAAACAGAGAGGGAGCCACTGACTGCCTTTTCACTTCAGTGTTTGATCTTTCTTTATTTCTAGAAAGAAACATTTTTTGTTTCTGGGCTTGCTCAGCAGATGCTTCTCTCCTCTTACTCTGTGTCAGCTATTTGTAGTAAGACAGTGTATTCATTTGCTAGGACTGCTGTAACAAAGTACCATGGATGGTGGCTTAACCAACTCTATTTCCTCACATTTCTGGAGGCTATAAGTCTGAGACCAAGGTGTCAGCAGGGTTGGTCTCTCCTCAACTTTTTTTTTTTTTGAGATGGAGTCTAGATGGAGTCTTAGTCTGTTGCCTAGGTTGGAATGCAGTGGCGTGATCTCAGCTCACTGCAACCCCCGCCTCCCAGGTTCAAGTGATTCTCCTGCCTCAGCCTCCTGAGTAGCTGGGATTACAGGTGTGTACCACCACGCCCGGCC